TGGACTCGATGGGCCAAACGGCCTGCTTCCACACTGTAGGGATTCTACGTTCTACTTCATTCTGGCAGATCAACAACTTCTCCATCCAAGCAGCAGCCATCACCTTGAATAGATTCCATTGACTGCCTTCCTAAATTACAACCCCGCTGGAAATTCAAGGCCTGTGCCTCCAACATTATTAAAACACAGCATTCTTAAAGGCTGAACTATGTAGAAGTTCAGATTAGGAGCTTTGTCCAGTCTAAGTCACAAGTCACAACATCCTATACATTTACCTACCGCTGTGGGAGCAGGCGGTCAGACGTAAGGTAACCAGTCTTATGAGTTTCCATGCTGAAGTCTCCAAACTTTGCCTGGACTGCATAGGAAGCAAGCAGCACAGCTGTTTCAGGAGGGCAGTACATTTCATCAGACAGAATGCCTTCCTTCACCTGAAGGAAGAAAAGCTTCTGAGTAACCTCCTGGATTAGTTCCTCAGCCACATCCTCGGGGAAGAACTTGGCACGAAACTTGAACTGAGCAGGATTTTCTTTCTTCAGATCTTGGTGAGATACCTAACAGCAAGACACATACTTTGATTATTTCTCAAAATGAAACCAAAAGTGACATTCCACTAGTAAAAGGACAGAATAGAAGAGTTACAGAATAATTCAGGCATGAAGGAAACCAAACAGCCCTTCAAGTCTATTCCGGCATTCTGTGCTGCAATTTCCCCCTTTCTAAACCAGTAGTCCTACATGTTTATTTTCTGAAGAGGACCCATTAAGTGTCCTTTTGAAATTTTTGGTTATCTCAGTTCCCATTAGTGCAACAAATTCCAGGTTATTACCATGCCCTACTTTTGGATATTGTTCCTTGCACTCCATTTGCAGCTCTTGTCAAAAACATCATATCTGCATTCCATGAACCAGCAGCTAATGGGAACAGTTTTTAAATTTGTCTATCATATCCAAATTAGAAAGTTAATTCGCTATGAAGGATGTTCAGTGAAGGTAAATAAACAACCACACTTTTCAACTGCAACTCAGCAAGTTAATAGGCTGTCCCCACCAACTATTGTAAATGACAGTTGACTAACGAGTTGTAACCTGAGCTGAGAAGTTATTTGTTAAAGCAATTTGAGAGAATCTGCCCAGAGTGGCAAGATATTGGAGAGACTACAAATGTGATGCAGAGGATAGATGCTAGGTAAAACAAAGAAAAAGTTATAATTTTTTTGTTAAATGCAGAAACTAACTTCATTTTTTGATAGCAAAGTGTGGAGCTGGAGGAACACAGCAGACCAGGCAGCAGAGGAACAGGAAAGCTGATGTTTCGCGTCAGGACCCTTCTTCAGACCATTGTGTTGCAAGTGTACTGTAGACTGCCCCAACCACAGGTGAATGACAGCACAAGGAAACATTGTATGCATATTCTGCCATCAAAACAGTTCACTTTTAAAAAGGATTCCACGTTATGCATGATATTGTCACTGGCAATTTGTCACAGTGGCAAGGTCTTCCAAGTTGCACACAAAAATCTCAGTTGGTATGCTGTAATGTCTGCATTGCAAAACAAGTAAACTAACCCAAGGAGTTAATCAATCGCTCTAACGTGACGTGGTGAAGTAACAGGAAAACATCATGCCAATGAGCTCTATCATAGTTGAACAGTCAGCAAGTTAATCTACAGGCATAATACATAGGCAACCATTAAACTGTGCTAAAGTGCATAAGACAGTGCTTGATATCTTTGGTCATTGCGGCAGGGTGACCTGAAAACACAGCTTTCTGGTAAACAGACCAATTCCTATTGAGAGGCAAGTTTAATTCACGAGAAAAGCAAGTGATCAGCTTTTTCCAGATCGATAGCGTACAGGGAAAGATCAAAGATGTTGTCAGAATGTTCACAAAATTCCCTAGCTTAAATTATGATATAGCAGAACTCCTAAAAATATGTAAACATCATTCAGTGCTTTGGCTTCTAGATTTGGGTTTGTCAGATGCATAAAATCAAGCCTTTAAAGATTTGTTTAGCAATTGGGAGCAAAGGTCTACAAGTCAGGATTGACAAGAGAAGCACTAAAAGATTCCCAAAGGTTTCTGTATTCAAATCGACTAGAAATTGCATGTCTTCTAAACAGAAATCTAGAATCCATGGACCATTTTGAGAGCAGGTACAAAGAGAAAGGCTTCTTGTGATTTTTCAGATGGACGACCTAGAAAACAGAATTGAATCAATACTTACATCCACCCACATGGAAGCATTCCAGAGAGATTTGTCAGAAAAATCAAAGATATATAGCATTGAAGAGCTACTGAAGGTGGACACAAGTAGAAACTCAACAGCTGACAATCATGAGAACACCCGAACAAAACAAGATGTCTGGCAGATGCGGTCTTCTACACAGGAAGATGACCAGCTTTTAATTTTGAAAGACATATGGCAGAAGAGAGGGATCGTATAGGCTGTTACAGCTACAAAGAGCCATGCATGTCCCAAACAGACTGCAGAAGGTACATTTTCAATACTACAATAAAAGGCCATCTGGTATCCAGTCAGGAATTTACACAAAGTGAAACTAACCCTCAGAATTAATCTATCCCCAACAAGCATTGGATTATTAGCCCATTATCAACATGACAGAGAGCAAAGCAAAGCATAGTATTATGTAACAATCACAGGTGGTTCAATAGTTGGAGAAGCAGTCATTAATGCATCCACCAAGTGTTGTGCACCTTTCAGGGGTAGGGCAATGGGTGTGGTGGCAGTGGTGGAAGAAAGGATCAAGTATTAGACTTACTAAGACCATCACGTATTAGGGAGTAAGCAGACATCATGAGACTGGCAAAAATGGTGTAAGAAACAAAGGAAAGGCAGTAAGCAGTATTCATAAAACTATTATTGGACTGGAGAAAGATGATGTAGTTAAGAGTTCATAGACAGAATCCATTTGGTTAAAATAAAAAATGCATAAAGTTGTTGGTGTAAATATTTTGAAACAACTTGTTCGGACATATTGAGACATTTCCAGCACAGGTGGGTCTTCTGGCCCAGAGGATCAATGCAAAACGAGCAAAGAAAAAATAATAATTGTGTAAAGTGTACAAGAGAAATCTGTTGATAGGGGATAGGTGGGAACGTGGGCTCGAGGCCACAATCTGATAAGCCATGATCTTACAGGCAGAGCAGGCGAGAAGAGCTAAACAACCTACTCCTGCTCCTAATTCATATATGCATATTACTGAATTTCAATCTACCAACAATGGAGCAATGTTGTATCTGGCTCTGGACAATGAAGTGAAGTTGGCTAAATGCAATATGTTTCAGCAAATGAAAAAAATCAAGAAATAACACAGTCATCGATGTTCCAAGTATGTCAGTTTTTGTACTCCTAATCAGGGGTCACTGGAAGGTATGCTATGAGACATCAGAACATTGTTCGGAAACTCTGAATGAACAATATGAACTTTAGAGCAGTTATGGAAAAGGACAGCCTAGGATAAAAGTTAACTTCAAATCAGTTTAAAAAGGATCAGGCACAAATGGAATGCGACCAAAAAGACCTTTAGCAAAACAGAAAAAAGAACAACGTGGAAGTAGTTAAGGGCGAGGCTTGTAGTGCATGCCCTCTTGTGCCTTAAAAAGGTATCAGGACAGGAGGATAAAAAGTGATTACGGCTGCATATCCCATATGCCAAAGCAGAGAACGATTCTGGAATTGTATAAGCCCGCAGCTACAGTATTGTACACAGTTCTGGAATACACATTTTAGGACGTATGTGATTGCGAGGAGATTTACTAGGATGTTGCCTGGGCTGAGGAGTTTTAATTATGAAGAGAGACTGCATAGACTGGGGTAGATTTCCATAAGACCGCAAGACGTAGGAGCAGAAATTAGGCCATTTGGCCCATCGAGTCTGCTCTGCCATTCAATCATGGTTGATAAGTTCCTCGACCCCATTCTCCTGCTTTCTCCCCGTAACGCTTGATCTCCTCGATAATCAAGAACCTATCTATCTCAGTCTTAAATGTACTCAATGAACTGGCCTCCACAGCCTTCTGTGGCAGTGAATTCCATAGATTCACCACTCTCTGGCTGAAGTAGTTTCTCCTTATCTCCGTTCTAAAAGGTCTTCCCTTTATTCTAAGGCTGTGCCCTTGGGTCCTAGTCTCTCCCATCAATGGAAGCATCTTTCCAACATCCACTCTGTCCATGCCATTCAGTATTCTGTAAGTTTCAATCTGATCCCCCCACGTCCTTCTAAAGTCCAATGAGTATAGTCCCAGAGTCCTCAAACGTTCCTCATATGTTAAGCGTCTCATTCCTGGGACCATTCTTGTGAACCCCCTCTGAACCTGCTCCAGGACCAGTACATCCTTCCTGAGTTTTGGGGCCCAAAACAGCACACAATATTCCAAATGTGGCCTGACCAGAGCCTCAAAGTCTCAGTAGCACATCCCTGCTTTTATATTCAAGTCTCTCAAAATAAATGCCAACATTGCATTTGCCTTTTTGACTACTGACTCAACATTATAGTTTACCTTGAGACTCTTCTGGACTAGAACTCCCAAGTTTCTTTGCACTTCAGACTACTGAATTTTCTCCCCATTTAGAAAATAGTTCATGCTTTTATTCTTCTTACCAAAGTGCATGACATCACACTTTCCCACATTGTACACCATCTGTCACTTCTTTGTCCACTCTCCTAACCTGTCCAAATACTTCTGCAGCCTCCCCACCTCCTCAATACTACCTGTCCCTCCACCTATCTTTGTATCATCTGCAAACTTAGCCAGAAAGTGAAAAGTTGTAGTCCCAACACTGACCCTTGCGGAACACCACTTGTCACCGGCTGCCATCCTGAGAAAGGCCCTTTCATCCCCACTCTCTGCTTTCTGCCAGACAGCCAATCTTCTATCCATGCTAGCACCTTGCTTCTAACACCATGGGCCTTTATCTTATTCAGCAGCCTCCTGTGCAGAACCTTGTCAAAGGCCTTCTTGAAGTTCAGGTAGATAATATCCGTTGGCTCTTCATGGTATCCCCTGCTCATTATTTCCTCAAAGAATTCTAGCAGATTTGTCAGGCATGACCTCCCCTTGATGAAACCATGCTGACTTTGCTCTATTTTACCATACACTTCCAAATATTCAGAAATATCATCCTTTACAACAGACTCCAAAATCTTACCCACAACCGAGGTTAGGCTAATCGGCCTGTAATTTTCTGTCTTTCACCTTAGTCCCTTTTTAAACAGGTGTGTCACATTAGCGATTTTCCAGTCCTCTGGGACCCTCCCCGACTCTAGTGGTGATCTTTCAGGAATCACTAACGCTTCCACTATCTCTTCAGCTATCTTCTTTAGAACTCTGGGGTGTAGTTCATCTGGTCCAGGTGATTTACCCACCTTCAGGCCAATCAGTTTTACTAGCACCTTCTCCTTGGGGATGGCCACCATATTAGCTCTGCCCCCGACTCTCTTGAATTTTTGAGATATTACTTGTGTCTTCCACTGTGAAGACTGACGCGAAATAATTCATAGAATCATAGAATCCCTACAGTGTGGAAACA